CATACTGAATGGGCAAAAACTAGAAGCATTCCCTTTAAAATCCGGCACTAGACAAGGATGCCCTCTTTCACCACTTCTATTCAATATAGTACTGGAAGTTTTAGCCAGAGCAATCAGGCAAGAAAAAGAAATAAAGGGTATTCAAATAGGAAAGGAGGAAGCCAAATTGTCTCTATTTGCAGACAGCATGATAGTATACCTAGAAGACCCCATCACCTCAGCCCAAAAACTCCTGAAACTGATAAGCAACTTCAGCAAAGTCTCAGGATATAAAATCAATGTGCAAAAATCACAGGCATTTCTATACACCAGTAACAGACTAAAAGAGAGTCAAATCAAGAACAAACTGTCATTCACAATTGCTACAAAGAGAATAAAATACCTAAGAATACAACTCACAAGGAACGTTAGGGATCTCTTCAAGGAAAACTACAAACCACTGCTCAATGAAATCAGAGAGGACACAAACAGATGGAGAAACATTCCATTTTCATGGTTAGGAAGAATTAATATCGTGAAAATGGCTATATTGCCCAAAGTAATTTACAGAATCAATGCTATCCCCATCAAGCTACCATTGACTTGCTTCACAGAACTGGAAAAAACCACCATGAACTTCATATGGAACCAAAAGAGAGCCCCCATAGCCAAATCAATTCTAAGCAAAAAGAACACAGCGGGGGGCATCACACTACCGAATTTCAAACTATACTACAAAGCTACAGTAATCAAAACAGCATGGTACTGGTACCAAAACAGAGATATAGACCAATGGAACAAAACAGAGGCACCGGAGGAAACACAACATATCTACAACCATACAATCTTTGATAAACCTGACAAAAACAAGCAATGGGGAAAGGATTCCCTGTTTAACAAATGGTGTTGGGAAAAATGGCTAGCCATGTGCAGCAAGCAGAAACCGGACCCCTTCCTGACACCTTACACTAAAATTAACTCCAGATGGATTAAAGACTTAAACATAAGACCTGGCACCATAAAAACCCTAGAAGGAAATCTAGGCAAAACTATCCAGGACAAAGGAGTAGGCAAGGACTTCATGACCAAAACACCAAAAGCACTGGCAGCAAAAGCCAAAATAGACAAATGGGACCTAATGAAACTCCACAGCTTCTGCATGGCAAAAGAAACAGTCACTAGAGTGAATCGGCAACCCACAGAATGGGAAAAAATTTTTGCACTTTACCCATCTGACAAAAGGGCTGATATCCAGAATTTACAAAGAACTCAAACAGATTTACAGGAAAAAAACAAACAAGCCCATTCAAAAATGGGCAAAGGATATGAACAGACACTTTACAAAAGAAGACATACATGAGGCCAACAAACATATGAAAAAATGCTCATCATTACTGGTCATCAGAGAGATGCAAATCAAAACCACAATACCATCTCACGCCAGTTAGAATGGCGATCATTAAAAATCTGGAGACAATAGATGCTGGAGAGGATGTGGAGAAATAGGAACACTTTTACACTGTTAGTGGGAGTGTCAATTAGTTCAACCATTGTGGAAGACAGTGTAGCGATTCCTCAAGGTCTTAGAAATAGAAATTCCATTTGACCCAGCAATCCCATTACTGGGTATATTATCCAAAGGACTATAAATCGTTCTAGTATAAGGACACATGCACACGAATGTTCATTGCAGCACTGTTTACAATAGCAAAGACCTGGAACCAACCCAAATGCCCATCGATGATAGACTGGATTGGGAAAATGTGGCACATCTACACCATGGAATATTATGCAGCAATCAAAAATGATAAGTTCGTATCATTTGTAGGATCATGGATGAATCTGGAGAACATCATTCTCAGCAAACTGACACAAGAACAGAAAATGAAATACCGCATATTCTCACTCATAGGCGGGTGATGAAAAATGAGAACACATGGACACAGGGAAGGGAGTACTAAACACTGGGGTCTATTGTGGGAAATAGGGGAGGGACAGTGGGGGGCGGAGCTGGGGAGGGATGGCCTGGGGAGAAATGCCAAATGTAGGTGAAGGGAAGGAAGGCAGCGAAACACACTGCCATGTGTATACTTATGCAACTGTTTTGCTTTTTCTGCACATGTACCCCAAAACCTAAAATGCAATAAAAAAGGGGGTTATCTCGTGTTAATTCAGGGGGTATACTTGTATATTTAGAGCATTTTGAAGCCAATCTTATATATGGATAAATGTGTGTTTTGATAAATGAAAGTTGAAGAAAAAAATGTGGATGAGAAATTTTAATGAAATATTCATTGTCTCATAATATAAGAAACAGAACATTGGCTAGCTGTTTTTAACCTACTTTATAAAATAAGGAGAATTTTTTGAACAGCATTACCAGGAGGCATTGACTCCTCTGAGTGGGCATGACTTGTTAGGTCTCTTTTCTCGTAATTTAGAATAAATTAGACAATAATTAGAAATTTATTTTACATAATAGGCTCTATAGCAGATTCTACAGTAAAGGCTATGGAATTTAAATTTTCTTTTTTCTTTCTTTTTTTTTTTTTTTGAGACAGAATCTCACTCTGTCACCAAGACTTGAGTGCAATGGTGTGATCCTGGCTCACTGCAAACTCTGTTTCCTGGGTTCACGCAATTTTCCTGCCTCAGGCTTCCCAGTAGCTGGGATTACAGGCACCTGCCACCATGCCTGGCTAAGTTTATGGCATTTTTAGTAAAGAAGCGGTCTTGACATGTTGGCCAGGCTGGTCTGGAACTTCTGACCTCATGATCTGCCCATCTTGGCCTCCCAGAGGGCTGGGATTACAGACATGAGCCACTGTGCCAAGCAAATTTAAATTCTCTTATTAAAGTTGTGCTAAATAATTTAATTTCTTTAGGTTATTTATTGGATAAAGAGACGTATCTGTTTAGTTGCTAACACTTTTTGTAATATATCCGGTATTACAGAGATTCAGTTGTAGATTAATGAACAGGCTGCTTGATTGAAATGAAGAAAACATTTTTCTAGGTAATTATCATGATCTATTTTATTTTAGTTGGTTTGGTTCATGGGGGCCCTGGTTAAAAAGTATACTCCAACAGGCCTGGTGGCTCATGCCTGTAATCCCAGCCTCCCAGGGAGGCTGAGGCAGGCAGATCACTTGAGGTCAGGGGTTTGAGACCAGCTCGGCCAACATGATGAAACTATGTCTCTACTAAAAATACAAAAAAAAATTAGCAGGGCTTGGTGGTGTGCACCTATAATCACAGCTATTGGGGAGGCTGAGGCAGGAGAACCACTTGAATGCAGAAGGCAGAGGTTGCAGTGACCTGAGATTGCACCACTGCACTCCATCCTGGGGAAGAGAGAAAAACTGTATCTTCTAAAGAAAATAAAATAAAAGCATACTCCAAATTCTTGGTATTATCTTTCTGATAGTGAAAATAATGGTCTTGCTTGTATAATATATTCTCTCCAAAGTTATAAATGTTTGCAGACAGCAATCTCTAGAATTTGAAATTTTTCTCCTTTAACTGAAATGACAAAAATTCAAAGACTATAAGGACACTGTAACTGTAAATGACATGATAAGTATAGAAATGAAAAAAATAATAACTGTGATTGGCACTAGTGGTTTGAGTTTTGGTTACACTTTTACCTAAATTAGTACTTAACTAAAACTAGAATGGTTTTTTTTTTTTTTTTTTTGAGACAGAGTCTCAGTCTATCTCCCTGGAGGGAGTACAGTGGTGTGACTTCTGCTCACCGCAATCTCTGCCTCCCAGGTTCAAGAGATTCTCCTGTCTCAGCCTTCCAAGTCACTGGAATTACAGGCAGGCACCACTACACAAGAATAATTTTTGTATATTTACTAGAGACGAGATTTCACCATGTTGGCCAGGCGAGTCTAGAACTCCTGACCTCAAGTGATCTGCCCTGCTAAACCTCCCAAAGTGCTGGAATTACAGGCATGAGCCACCGTGCCTGGCCAATAGAATTATTTATTTATTTATTTATTTATTTTTAAAGATGGGTTTTTGCCATAATGGTCAGGCTGGTCTCGATTTTCTGACCTCAGGTGATCCACCTGCTTCAACCTCCCAAAGTGCTGGGATTACATGTGTGAGCCACCTCGCCCAACTAGAATAGTTTTTTTTTTTTTGTAGGTCACTCAAAATTGTTTATTCACAGGGACAGTTAAAAAGGCTCAGTTCCAGGGGACAAATGTGTCACAAAGTCCTTGCTTACAAACTCCTAACTGAAGCTGCCTTGGGAAAAACCTACTCCCTCAGCATGATGGGCAACTACACTGGAGGTGCTAATTTTTAACTCCAATGTCTCTTGTAGCCAATGGCAGGCTGATGTTTCATCTTCCTCAGCAACCCTGAATCATAAAAGCCTTTAAGCTGTATGTTGCATGTCACTCCTGATCTCTGTGAATTTACTGAAAGATGTGACTCTAAAGGCAAAATGAAGCCCACACCAATGATTATGTAACAGAGGCTGGCAGTCATGACTATTTAACTGTTCTTAGTTCTTTAAGACCTCAATTACGTAAACCAAAATACATTCTGATTTTCGAGCCCTCCTAACCAAAATAATAATGATGATGGCTGATGACTTTAGGCCCTGGAGCTGCTAATTTTTTAACTTCCTGCTATCCTCCCCTCCCTACCACCAATCTCTAGGGCGCTCTAGTTTGCTCCTATTTTTCAGTTTCCAGAGCTTGGAAACTAAGACCCCCATAAACATGGCTACCTTCACAAAACACCCAGATAAAGGAGTACTGACTGAAATAAACATTATAGGCTACACCCCAGCAGCTGGGGCAATGGATCTATGTGAGTGGAGCTAAAAATTCAAGTCCCAAGTTTTCCTGCTCCAGCAGGTTGACCTTCAAGGGCTGCGTCAGTCTTCAGAAATAGGAGCTACCAGCCTCAAGCTGTTTGTTGCCTGGGAAGAAAGGTGGGCCACTTTACCCAAATGTTAAGAATTGGACACTTTTCTGCTGTTCTTTGTATAGCCTCTCGGCTCAAATTTTTAGCACCTCAGCCTTGGCCTCATCGTTTTCGATGCCATCCCCCAGCTTGTACATGCGACTGGCATTGGCACAGGCCCAGAAATGACCCACATCACAGACTTTCATGGAGTATTTACATTTCATGTCCATGTCCTTGAAAAAGCCAGTGCCACCCTGCAGGAACATGGCACTGCAGTTGAAGTAGCTGGAGGCATAACCAGCATCACAGACCCTTGTATAGTAGTCCCTGGCCTTTCCCAGGTCAGGCTGGCCATCCTCATTAACCCATCCATCATGTGCCAGGCGAGTAATGTTGTGACATGCTGCTAAAGACTTCTTTCCGGGCTTCTCACACGCTATCAAAAAGCAACTGGCGGCAGCTTTCATGTCCTGGGTCAGACCACCTTTCCCAGTCACATAGTAGGCCCCCAGTTTGTAGCAACTATCGCTGTGCTGATTGTCTTCACAGTTAAACTTCAAAACCTTGGCAGCCTCATCAAAATTCTTCTGGATCCCTTGCAAATTGTCCACCAGCCGATAGCAACCTTCCCAGATCCTTCTCGCAGTAGCAATGGTAGTTGCACTCCACATCCAGGTTCTCCAAAAAGGACTTCACCTCTTCCTCATTCTGGAAATCCACCAAGCCAGCCATGGTTGACACTGGCCCAGAGACAGTCATGTAAGCTGGCGGCTAGAATAATTTTTCAACAAAATTACTTAAAGCCATTATTTTGAACTGAGCTTGTACATTAGGCACATTGTACAACAGAGCAGACAAAACAAAACAAAAAGGGCAGGCACGGTGACTCATGCCTGTAATCCCAGCACTTTGAGAGGTCAAGGCAGGCAGATCATAAGGTCAAAAGATTGAGACCATCCTGCCCAACATGATGAAACCCTGCCTCTACTAAAAATAAAAAAACTAGGTGGGTGTGGTGGGGTGTGCCTGTAGTCTCAGCTACTCTCTGGAGGCTGAGGGAGGAGAATTGCTTGAACCAGGGAGGTGAAGGGTAAAGTGAGCTGAAATTGCACCACTGTACTCCAGCCTGGTGACAGAACAAGACATCATCTCAAAAAACAAAAACAAAAACAGAGTCACTCATGCTAAATGTGCCATAATCGAACTGAAAATTTGAGAAAATAGGTAGATTCTAAAAACAACCAAATTTTTTCCTTTTTTTCCTTTTTTTGGTAAACAGCAGATTTTAACACAAAAAGGTCTTTTCTGTTCTAATTTTTTTTTTTTTTAAATAACCTGAAGTTCTTTCATCTGTTTTATAAAGCCCACAGCTCTGCTGTTTCCCAGTGGAATTTGAGATGGAACAAGTACATTTATCCTAGTTATGGTCTGATATCGATGTCTAAAATTTTGGTCTATCTCAGGCATGGATACTTTAGGATGACTGAAATAGGAAAATTGTTAAATTAAGTTTAGCCTAAGCTACCTCATTTTAAGTTTAATTACTGTTAGTATTTTTTGTACACAGTAAACTAAAACCTAACTGGATGTGTAAACAGACTATAAACATTCTTGTACTAATCATTTTTTGCCACTCAAATGAATTCAACTATTCAAACTATATTCAAATAAAAAAAACTCTGAGCTGTCATCAATCTGGCTGTTTCTGTGCTTCATCCCAGTTTCTGTATGTCACTTTGCTTTTTCTGTCCATACATCTTCCAATGTGTGGCTGTGCTGGAGTCTCTTTGAGCCTACTCTGCATTCGAAGGCTGCTAAGTTAGCAAATTACTCTTTGCTCAATTAAACTCTGCTAAATTTAATTTCTCTCTCTCTTTTTCTTAACAGTTTTAAATTTTTTGTGATTAAAAAATAAATAATATGTTGTTGGGCTTTGACTTTATAAACTCATCCCTCAGCCATTTTCCCACATTATTTCATGTGCTTCCAAAATGCTTCTGCAATCTTTTTAAAGACAGGGTTTCACTCTAACACCCAAGCTAAAGTGCAGCAATATGACTGATCCCAGCTCACTGCGGCCTCAACCTGTTGAACTCAAGTAATCTTTCAGTCTCACCTTGAGAAGCTGGGATTACAGGCACGCGCTGCCATGCCCAGCTGATTTATTTATTTATTTTGTGTGTGTTCGTGTGTGTGTGTGTGTGCGTGCATGTAAACAGTATCTCATCATGTTGCACAGGTTACTCTTGAACTCTTCAGCTCAAGTGATTCCCTTGTCTCAGCCTCCCAAAGTGCCAGGATTACAGGTGTGAAGCACGTTGTGCTTCTTTTTTTTCAGAAAGAGTCTCACTCCGTCTTCCAGGCTGGAATGCAGTATAACTATCTCAGCTCACTGCAACCTCTGCCTCCCTGTTTCCAGCAATTCTCCCACCTCAGCCTCCTAAGTGGCTGGAACTATGGGCATGCACCACTACACCCAGCTAATTTTTTGTATGTTTAGTAGAGACAGGGTTTTACCATGTTGGCCAGGCTAGTCTCAATCTCTTCACTTCAAGTTATCTGCCTGCCTCAGACTCCCAAACTGCTGGGATTACAGGTGTGAGCCACCACGCCCTGCCTGCTTCTGTAATTTTTAAAGGGAAATACTTTCAATGTTAAATAGTGCTATATAGTCCCAAATCTAGAAGGAATCCAATTTCTATTATAAACGTGTCACTTTCCAAGACATCAGAGTTCTAGGGTGGCTAATTGAGTGGTGTGTTTATGAAGGCATGTGAGCTATATATTTTTTGTTTTTTTTTTGTTTGTGTGAGCTATAAAGTAAAAGAGAGATGATACTGAATCTCAGGCTTCTTGTTGCAGAGAGCCTATAAATGGATGTGTAATGGAGAGCTTTATTACCTGGATTCCTTTCCCAGGAAAGGCATATTGATTAGGGCCCTGGAAGGGGAATGCGACCATTATGGAGAGCCTATAAATGGACACATAAAGGGTGTCTGTCTCTGTGGTTAAGTTAAGGCTGTAAAAGTCTTTCTTCTCCTACTGCTCCTCCAGGCCTACATGGAGGCCCCCACCTCTTGCAGTTTTTGTGGTCAGGCTGGTTGTCCTGTATCATATCCTGTTCCCTCTGTAGCTGTGAGCCCAATATGTTCTTGCTGATAATCATAAGTTTATGTTTAACCTACTATCTTGCTAAGGTGTATGATTTCTATGAGGACATGCTGACACACAGAAAGTTATCTTTACATTGTTCTGCTTTTATAATACCACATTGATTTTTGTGCATCAGTTTTTGCAAATGTATTCTTTTTGTATATATAATATATATATTTTAATAGAGATGGGGTTTCACCATGTTGGTCAGGAGGCTGGTCTCGAACTCCTGACCTCATGACCCACCTGCCTCTGCCTCCTAAAGTGTTGAGATTACAGGCATGAGCCACTGTGTGGGGTTGGCTGCCCACTTCTATTAGTCTGTTTTCACAGTGCTATAAAAACTACCTGAGAATAGGTAGTTTATTTAAAGAAATGTTTAATTAGCTCTCAGTTCTGCATGGCTGAGGAGGCTTCAAGATACTTCCAATCATGGCAGAAGGTAAAGAGGAAGCAAGGCACTACTTACATGGTGGTGAAGAAAGAACGAGGGCAAAAGTGTCAAACTTTTAAACCATTAGATCTCATGGAAACTTACTATCACAAGAACAGAATGAAGAAAATTTACCCATATGATACAGGTTTATTCAACGACAAATGGGAATTACAATTCAAGCTGAATTTTGGGTGGGGACACAGAGACAAACCATATCACCACTTAAAGGATCCAAAGCCAGAAAGGTCAAAATAATCAAAAATTTAAAAATAATTGTCATTGGCTGGACACGGTGGCTAATGCCTGTAATCCCAACACTTTGGGAGGCCAAGGTGGGCAGATCACCAGCCATCATGGTGAAACCTCATCTCTACTGAAAACAGCAACAACAAAAATTAGCCAAGCATGGTGGCAGGTGAATTCAGCTACTCGCAAAGCTGAAGCAAAAGAATTGCTTGCACCTGAGAGGCTGAGGTTGCAGTGAGCAGAGACTCTGCCACTGCACTCCAGCCTGGGCAACAGAGCAAAACTCCATCTCAAAAAAACAAAAACAAACAAACAGGAAAAAGTACGAAGTGTAAGATAATTAAGGATCTCAAAGTTTAGGCAAACAAAAACTTTCATTACAAGAACTGTAAATGTGATTAGAAAGAAGGTGGGGAAAAAATGGTAAAATAGAGGGGGGGCAAATTTAGATTCTAGATCAGATTATGTTTTACCCTGAAGTCAGCATGTTATTAAGAGAGACAGAAAATGGTGTTGTGTGTTGGCTCAGATTGAGGGTAGCTCAAAGTTCAGGAGCCCTGAGGAAGGAGAGAAAATTAAGAAAAGTTTGGTTAAAAAATATTTGGTTTGGGGGCCGGGGATGGTGACTTACGTCTGTAATCCCTGCCCTTTGGGAGGCTGAGGCAGGCAGATCACGAGGTAAAGAGATTGAGACCATCCTGACTTATATGGTGAAACCCCGTCTCTACTAAAAATACAAAAATTAGCTGGGTGTGGTGAAACACACCTGTAGTCCCAGCTACCCAGGAAGCTTAGAAGGGAGAATCACTTAAACCAATGAGGCAGTGGTTGCAGTGAGTTAAGATTGCACCACTGCATTACAGCCTGGGCAGCAAAGCAAGACTCCATTTCTTTAAAAAAACAAAAAAAAGAAGAAGAAGAAAAGAAGAAAAAGAAGTATTTGGTTTCAACCACTGAAGACCAATTATTCAGCTGATGTTTTGGGAAACAAATGTTTAGAGTCAGTGTCTAGTTGTGTGATAAGAAAATAGAGTATGTCTAAGACATAATGAGTGTGTTTCTTTCCATTAAGCTCTTCCTGGAGGACTCAAGGGATGGAGAATCTTATTAATCACAGCCATTCAACAGGATTATCTATGTGCTCTATTTTTTTCACCTTTTTCCTTTGCCTATTCATCTCTTGCATTTGACTGTTTCTGGGTTGCATATTTATAATAAACTGTTAAACATAAGTGAAGTGTTTTGCTGATATCTGTAAGTCCCAGGTTCAAGTGATTCTTCTTCCTCAGCCTCCCAAGTAGCTGGGATTACACAAATGTGCCACCACCCCCAGCCAACTTTCTGTTTCTATGAATGTGACTAATTAAGATATCTCATATAACTGGAGTTCAATAGTATCCATCATTTTGTTACCAGAGTATTTCAACAGGCATGATATTCTCATAGTTTATCTTAGAATGTCACAAGACTTCTAAAAGCTGAGTAATATTGTTTTGTATATGTAGATCACATTTTTTGATATGTTCATTAATCAAGAAACATATTAGCAACAAAAGCCAAAATAGACAAATGGGACCTAATCGAACTCCACAGCTTCTGCACAGCAAAAGAAACAGTCATTAGGGTGAATCAGCAACCAACAGAATGGGAAAAAAATTTTTGCAATCTACCAATCTGACAAAAGGGCTGATATCCAGAATCTACAAAGAACTAAAACAGATTTACAAGAAAAAAACAACCAAGCCCATTCAAAAGTGGGCAAAGGACATGAACAGACACTTTACAAAAGAAGACATACATGAGGCCAACAAACATATGAAAAAATGCTCATCATCA